CTTAGTGGAAACCTCATAGAAAGCGGTGAGTGTGCAAAGCTGTGTTCAAAGTGATTGAAATCTTGGTTTGGAGTTTCTTTATTTGGTTATGGAGGCGTCTGGCCGAGTGAGTTGCTATCAACTTGACCTTTCCAGGCTCTGAAGAACGCGAAATTCGCCGAAACGTCAGCTTAATCGTGAACAAAGAATAATAACACCTCGCGTTTGCTCAACAAAAATGCGAACAAAATCACTTGATCAATGCCGAGGTTAGTAGAAAGTCGGTCGTGGCAGTCTCTTGAGAATAATTCGTTTCCAAGATCGACTTTCTATTAACCTCGGCATTGGAATATGAGTGCGTCGTTTTCTTGTTCAGCAATCGCGAGGTTTTTAAACAGCATACATTTACTTCCTTAGAAAAACACAATACAATACAACCCTAGCTGACGTTTCGGCAGTATCGCCTTCTTCAGAGCCTGGAAGGGCATACTGATATACAATCTACTAGGCCAAAGGCTTCAATAACACTTACACAAAGACGAAGAACTCTCCGCTAATTACATAATCAACAACTTCTTGAAAAACTCACCGCTTTTTCGTGACTTCCAATGAGGAAGTTTAGAACAGCTGTTTATAGTCGCATGTGGTTGACGACTGCACCATCCCACATCAAAAATCGGTGAGAACATACGGGATCAGGTCGCGTATGACCTCCGGACATTCATCCTTACTATTCATTGTAGGGTTTTTGGCATTTATCCAAAAAGCCTCAAGAAGTTTTCGCGCTGGTGTTTTGGACTCCTGTGAAAGGATATTAACTTTTACTTCAAAATCGTCTCCGCTATGCTTTTGTATCCTATGCGTACCTAGTGTGTTGCTTCGTTTTGGTTTTCGTTTGCCATCTAGGTGTTCTTTTATACAGTATCCTGCCCCGAAGGCCATACGCGACCTGATCCCGTATGTTCGCATCGATTTTTGATATGGGATGGTGCAGTCGTCAACCATGTGCGACTATAATCAGCTGATCTAAGCTTCCTCATTGGAAGTCACGAAAAAGCGGTGTGTTTTTCGAGAAGTTGTTGATCGTGTAGTTACCAAAGAGTCTTTCGTCTTTGTGTAAGTGTTATTGAAGCGTTTGGCCTACTAGATTGTATATCAGTATACCCTTCCAGGCTCTGAAGAAGGCGATACTGCCGAAACGTCAGCTAGCGTTGTATTGTATTGTGTTTTTCTATGGAAGTAAATGTATGCTGTTTAAAAACCTCGCGATTGCTGAACAGGAAAACGACGCATTCATATTCCAATAATTCGTTTGTTTCATTTTTGGTGCTTTCACAATCTCCTTTAGAAAAAGAATGTCAAATTAAGACTAATAATGTTCACTTTTTATTTTCTGCCCATTACAATTTTTCATGTTAGGGTATTATGCGAACTACAATCACAGTGACGCTGAGATATTTGCAAAACTCCGAACCATAGGTGTCTGGCAGATCGGAAAAACTAATAATTTATCTTGCAAAGTAGGCACTTTGAAAGTTCAAAACCGACGTGAAATCCTAATAAAAACAGCACTAGACTAAGTCATAGTGAGCTCGACGCAAGATGAGTGAGATCAGGAGCGCACCTGTTCTCATCATCGTCACTGAGACAGTACTTCAGTGGCGATGTCGTGTACCCTTGTCGATTTCGGCAATTCTCCAATTCAGCGTATTCACTTAAGAGTTCGTCAGAAACTTTCCTTACGTCATTGTACAGTGCCTCGGCATGTTCTCGAATATTCGACGCATTTTCACTGAAAAGAGAAGCATCAGAATGTGAGAGGTATGTGACTGGCAACTACGATAATGCTGATCGGCAGCCATTTGTAACATCCTCACTTCGTAACTGTTCCACACATCTAGTAGATTACTCGATTTAGTGTTTGACTCTGAATTTTCACAGTTATAAATGCAAGAAATCGACATAGTCTTATCGATTTCTTGCATTTTATGAAATTGAGTACGAATACGAAATTGAATGGTGGATTCTTGTTCATCTACAGCAACCTTATCGGTAAGCTTTCTGCGTCCATTAGTACGTCGGTCATGTCGTTGATACGTTGGCACTGCTCATCGTAGCGGATACGTAGACGTAAATCGAACTTGTCCTTAAAAATGTTAAAGAAGAAAAAAACTACAAACAGCAAAATGAGATAAGGAAGTTGAACCTTCAACATGGATGATTATAAGATATACCATAAGGTAAAAATAAGTGAATAAAACGTTTGACACTGACCAAACCCTTAGAGTTGAGTTATGAATTCAACTCCATTGAGCATCGCAGAAGTAACTGACTAGATATTTTAGCTTATAAAATGACTTGCAGCTGTCTACCGATTTAAGAGACCATTGTTTTTATCCCCTCGGACAGTTCTGACACGGATTTTTCGACCTTAGACAGATACTAAACTTTGTCAGCCCTAGGGTAAAGAGCCAACGACCATCTGTAATGCACGATACTTCTGTGTGCTATGGGTGCCTATGATATTGCAATATATCCAACTAACTAATTATGTGTAATATAAGAAAATACTCTAGAAGCAAACACGACAAGTAACTTAACAAATTCGAAATCATCTACTATCTACCTACACTAACCTCATTACCAATCAAAGGATGCTGCTCAAAATATATGACACTGAGAAAAAGATCAAGTTGTGTGTAGTCACTTCCTTCAAACTTATGCAAAAATGTCTTCCATGCCTCAGCCTTTACGTAGTTGTAAAGAGTGTCCTCCTTTTGCATGATCTAAATTGTGGATTATTGTCAATTAAGTAGACTGTTACCATACCACAAAATTGTTTCATAGACAAGCAAGCATTATATGCCTACGCATTGCTACGATGTTTGAGTATCTATGCGGGTACCATAGTAATTTCTCCAATATCACGTGTGTACGACGAGGATATTGTCGAAAAATCCACTCTTCAAATGATTGACAGATAAAGGAAGAGCTGACCGAAGACTACAAGCTGCTTGTCGAAGGAGTTAGAACTTATGCCGAATTCGTATCAGTTCCTCAAACAAGAACTTCGGACCGCATCGCCATTCCCACTAAGGATTTGCTCGAAGGGAGAAGGAAACTGAAACTTGATCCTACTGCAACACACTTAACACGGCTGATAATAAATTCCAGCTGTTGAAGACCTTTGTAGGACGACTTACTTCGGTGTAGGCAAAAAAATATTGGAAGGAGCTTTAGGACGATCTAGTCTGAAAAAACGCCTTCAGGATCTCTGCCACTATAGTGTTCCGCTATCCGCCCCGAAGATGAAACTGTCACCACATCCCTACACGATACGAAATTGATAACGGAAAATTTCCACAGAAATCTTTTCGCTCCACAGTCCTCGTCTAGCAACACGAAATCCAAGCCGGTGAAAAACCGCCGAGATTTTTGCCCTCTGAAGTTCAAATTGTGATAGAAAACAAGACAGGAACAGCTCCATGACCCGACAATGCGACCGCCGATTTTCTTAGACCAGGCAGCCACAAATTACTTGTGCTCTTCGTAACCCACATGACGTCTTACCTTTAAGAAGAGAAATTTCAGACAGTGGAGGACCTCGCGCACGGTCATCACACCCAAGAAAGGTGACCGAACGGATCTTCGTAGCGAATGTGCCTGTTAAATACATTCTACAAAGCTGTTCACGAAGTGTACCTTTTGCGAATATCGAAGACCTGGGATTAGGCACAACCAATCCAGCAAGCAGGGTTTCGACAGGTATTCAGCTGCATGGACCACAGTGACACCGTATCATGGGTCATAGAAGTCTTTCGAGAGTATCATGTGCCCTTTTTCCTATCGACTACGAGAAAGCGTTTGACAGCGTCGAAACGAGTGCGATCCCATCAGCGCTCGTTGACAAAGGAGTGGACTCGTCCTACATACGAGCACTTGCAGGCAGCGACGAAGAAAGAGTATCGTTTGTCTACCTAAGACAATTTTTTGTCTTAGTGACAGTCTTCACCCATGTATTGCTCTGTGCGGCTGCTATCCACCAACTAACTTAAATACTTACAACAAATAAACAGTAGGTGTTTAAATGAAGCTGTTTCTTATGCGAATACAAATTTATTTGTTAAGTCTTATCTGCTAGGGTTTTGGAAGTGTTTGGCTCAGTAGATCGCATCTCAATTTGACCTTTCCAGGCTCTGAAGAAGGCGAAACCGCCGAAACGTCAGCTATTGTAAATAAATTCTATAATAACAACCTTGTGTCTGCTTATTGAAGAAAAACATCGAATTATCAATCAATGCCGAGGTTAACAGAAAGTCGGTCTTGGGACTTGCAGGTAGTTATCGGAACAGAAGCACACACCGCAAGCTTTTCTTCAACCCCTCACCATACCCGCAGAAAAAGATTCGACAAGGCGACAACGTATCGCTAAAGCCGTTCACTGCAGCACTGCACTGGACAATGAACTCAGTTGAATAAGAAGAGAATGGCATACGTATTGATCAAAATTTCCTATCAAGCCTTCGCTTTGGGGATAAGGTTGTCATCTTTTTGAGGAGTATCACTGAAGAAGAGACGATGCTCAATGTACTCAACGAAATAGGAAAAAAGATCAGACTACGCCTGAATCGGTTATACAAATTTGGTTTCATTTGCCTGAGCACAGAGTCATGGAAGCCTTTGTGAGCCTGGAGTGCAGGACCGAACCAGAAACTGATTCAGTGTATATTGCTCGGCAACTCTAACTATCGCGCTAAAGTGCAATTATAATAATAACTAAGCTAAATTTAAAACAAAACTGCTTCACCTTCAACGCCGTAACAAATGGTAACTGTTGTATTCTAGATGTGCGGGCACCATGAGGTAACAGTTGCATAGCCAGTGAACATTTGATCTGTCTGGAAACTTTCATTATCTTGGTAGTTTATAATTTATAGAGCTACTATTATTTTGACAAATACTATATTTGACATCGCTTCTAAAGAACTTAACTTTATCGCTATCAATAAAACTCATCTGTTTGCCTCCAGATCCAATGGATTCGGGCGATAGTGCAAGACGTGGACCTGGTCAACATCATATTCAATTTCCCCTCTTCTGTACTCAAGAATGGAACCAGTGAATGGTGGATGCGGCTGAAACATTCAACCTGCTCAATACAAAATTGTTAGCGTACTTCCGGGATTGAATAGCGCAGCTAGCAGAATTATAGCTCTGAGGATGGCGAAGGCGTCGAAACCTTAGCCGAATAAAAACTTTTATAACAATTGCGTGTTAGTTCAGTAACCTAAGAAAGTGTCGGCTGTTTATGCCGAGTTTAAATGAAAGCTGGTTTTCATGTTATTGTTTAGCGGACGGGAATAGGAGCGAATAGATTCCCGAAAATGTTCAGTACTGTGGATCCAATTCGAACGGCTACAATATTCATTGAAGGTCTGTTAATGACACGCAGATGGGCGTGTGATAAGGTGGTAGCGCTTCATTGAAGCTGTTAGGAACCACTGCCATGATCTCGTACGAAGACCAAGTAGGTTGCGTCTTGACGTTTTGATCAATTCGAAGACATTCCACTTGGTTTTCTTAAGCTAGAACATCGTCCTCTTAATGGATGCTCCCAACGATTATGCGTGAGTTCCAGAAAAAAGACGTCATTAACCATTTCCGGTCATAAAAGCGTCAAATGCGTCTTTTTTGTTTGATAGGACCTCGAGCCGTTTCCCCCTCTGATTAGCTGAATTGACTACGTTAATCCAGTGGCGTGTTAGTCCGTCTAAGGTACTCGACATTAATGTATGAGCTTGAAATAAGAGAGGCCTTCGATTTAATCGGTGTGTAATTCTCACTAAATAGCCGCTTAAAAAGAAAGCAGAACATAGATTTGCAATTATCAGACATAGGTTTCATAAGTTTTGAAGGTACTAGAACAACGCATGATACAGCCATAACACCATAGGTTTTTTGTAGGCTTCAAAACACATCACGACCAATTTTAGGTCTCTTCGTTTCAAATTTTTAGGAGAGAAATAGGAATAGGAATAAAAAAAAATGGAATGGGACCCTAAAATTTTCAGTTGCACTTCTAGAAATTGTTAGACGAACTCAGTATCAGGTAGACCTTAATCATTCTTAACTGCAAGCAACGCGTAAGATCTATGGCATTTTTGCGTCATGTATCCTCATAGCAAAGATGACAGCCAGCCTGGAGCAATTTTTGATGTTGATGAATGATGGACAAAATTAATTTAGTCATAAAAGGTAGAAAACATGTTCGAGAATACAATCACAAAGTTGCTATGACATGAGCAAAATCTGGAAACTTAACTGGGTTTCAATCCCGCGATTAGCCATTCCTAGAGCTCATGTGCTATCTATCACACTAGCCGATGATCCTGCTTTGCATTTCTTTCAGCTTGCGTTTTACTCTAACGCTGGTATCAGCAAACATCCGTTAATGGGAGTTGATCTGGTGAGCACAAATAGGCATTAACTCAGTTAAGCGGAAGCTGCAGCCGAAATCACAATGTGGTTTCTCTCAGCATCCTTCCGGCTGCATTTTACATACTACTTTGCCATAAACAAAGAATAGGCAGTAAATTAAAGTTCAAGATTATGGTGTTCGAGAAAGTTCATCAAAAGTGTGGGTTGATGTTTTTTTAGATGGATGAACGAATTCTTTTAGCGCGATCACCAACGAACCGACACCGCTCATAGATGTTCAGTGCTGATCGGGTTTGTACGATAATGATTAGGTGATGAATGATTAGCAGTGATATGCCTATATATTTAGTTAGTGCCTTTTATCACTCCGAGCAACTCTGGCAGAACTTGCGGATCCACGGAGGGTTCAACGATTTGGTTCATTCGTGGCATGAGGTAGGCCCAACGACCAGGTGGGTGTAGCGGGACACCGGGAAACCAGCACACTTCTTACCACTGCGCTACACGCACTGTTCAGGTATAAAAACAAAATTTTTAAATATTTTAACAAATAGGTAGCCACTTGATCCTCATCTCCTACAAAGAATGAGTATTGTACATCGTCCGGAGGATTCATCGATGCCTGTTCATGAAGAAATCGAGCTCCAATCTGAAAGTCGTATCCGAAATTCTCGTTAACAACAACGGTACTGAAGTTCCAAATTATGTAAGGAAACATTTCAAGATTTGCTAATCTGGGAACTTGTTGAAAATAAGTGAAAGAATAGAGTCATACCTCTAGCGCGCGCTCGATTTGCTCATCAACTGACTTGAGTTCACCTTCAGTAGGCCCTTCCTTGAAAAACAAACTTTCAAACCATTTAAATAAATCTTACACTGGTATATCTATCTGTTCGCTCTGGTGTTCATTGAAAATAAAACCTCTAACAGAGACATCGACAAGAATGTGAACCATCTTCTACTACGAGAATAAAACACCTCTAGACAGCTATAGGACACCATAGTTATAAAGCTGCCAAAGGAAAATGACTGAATTGGTGGGATAGTAACACTTCTTATAGATGCAGTGATAAAACATATACCTCTTGATGGATGGTTAAACGTCGTTGTAGACGTTTAGCTAACTGCACGGATCCTCGTTTTCGTTCCACTGTTTGCTCAGCCTATGTGTATAACGCGATCGCATTAGACGGAACAAAAGACTCGAAAGATTCTTGCACTTACATGATATCTCATATTTATCCCCTACGCTCTTTCATTTCTACCGATATCATCTCAAGAATGGACGCGTGTGGAGCAATACTTAGAGGTATCCCGCGATACACATCAGATCGATCCAGTGCCACAGGGTCACCAAGCCTTCCATTTCTCCAAGGTCGGCAAATTAGCACCGGACTTGCCCGGGAGGATATCAGTGCTGACTCGATACATTAGTGGGCCACCGCGAGTCATTGTACAGGTCATATATCCATTCAATCACGTTTAACGATGCTTAATGTAGTCTTGATGAAGATGAATGGATAGCGCATCCCTTAGGGATTGATCAATGCCAAGAGCTTTACCCTTATACTTTATTATCGTCTCGAGCCTAATAGTAATAACAGCCGAATTTACGGATAGTTTATGTTAGTTAGTTTCTTTTATCTAGCCGTTCTTTCTGATGAAGGACGACGACAAATGATGATGTGATTCTGACTGACTTATGTCATGATTTCCATACTAATAGTAGTAATAGTCATGGTATATGGAGTTTCACCCTTCATAGCTACCAATAATGGGACAGTAGACTATGAACCACATAGCTTGCTGTGCTACACTCACCTGTTTTCGAAGCTTAGTCCTCATAGATGCCTTTAGTTCGGCTGATGTTGATGTACGCTTCGAAGACTGCGATAATGTAGGGCTGAAACGAATAGAAGCAGTCGTCCACTCAATTCCAAACGGAATAGCAAAGGTAAAACCTGTGTGAGTTTCTTCCCCAAAAATCGTTCCATACTTTTCCTTACGGGACAGAAATGAAATACACTACCATTGTATTATCATTCTAGAAGCAAACCTTTTGACTCGGTCATCAATAGAAATGGACTCGTCCATATCCACCGTTGACGTTTGATCATGTAACAGTGTTTCCGGTGACTGTGAAAAAGTTCACAATTTGTTGAAAAAAGGAAGAAAATCAGTCATTTTTTGTTCAACACATTTTGCTTCATTTCAACCCCTTTTTCTTTTTTACTCCTTAATGCTCAAGAGCTTAGCTTACCATGACTGGAGCTACCGCTGCTGACGAATGGTCTTCAATCAAGCGGTCGTGCACATCCTCTAGTACCTTTCCAGCCTTTAACAGAATATTCTAATGTACGACATCTAAGAATATCTGTTTTAGTATTAAATTACTATTTGTCATTAATGGAGTGTCTACAGTGGCTTACCACATCATTAGCTGGAAGGTTGTCCTGTGTGTTGAACTGTGATTTGCGGGTGAGGGACGATCATATAACAGAATCTCCAGAGCTCAAGAGTTCGCTGAAGATTTGTGAAGGCCTTAGTAAGACTGCCCAGAAGTTTAAGAAAATGACTCAACCACTTCTAGCAGCCAGCATTCTCAGGTGATGAGACAGGCAACAAACGGTGAAAGGTATGTCGCATAAAACGTCATAAGCAAACCGATCCTCACAGTCTTAAATGCCGGAGAGCGCACCAATAGTAAAAAGACCAATATTCAGTAATTAAACAGTGAACCTTTAGATCATAGAATAACTTGAGGACGGAACATCAAAAGCGAAACCTTTATAGTACGTGGACTGATGGCGCTCTCACAAAATGTCGTCGGTACCGAATTCGTAGCACACATTCACCCTTAACGAAGACGTCAACTCAAGGACATTCTACTACTAAGCTTGAGCATTCTGCGCACTCATCTTTTGCATCAGAAAAAAACCAACATTATGAACCCAACACTTTTTGGGGAACTGGATACCTTCTATGACCAATTGAAGTAAATAAGGACGGAAAGCACTTCTGTAAAATTGTCATTGCAGACTTTAATTCGAGATTAGGAAATGCCGGTGAAATTGAATATAGGATAGGGAAATTTGAAATAGGATATCGATACAAGGATTGGGAACATAATGCCAGACTTCTATTTGCAGCACGTCTTTTTTCATGGAAGTTTTTTTGAGAAGAAGAGAAGCTGTCTCTGGGCCTGAGGACTACCTCTTGGCCTATACCTCCGAAGATCGATCACATCCCCACTATCGTTTTCTCCATGGTGAGACTTTTTTTGCAAACTGTATAGATATTGAAGGCGAAGTTGAAGAAACAAAAGACAAACTGTGTATGACGAGAACATTCTAACGCTAACCTTCTCCTTACCTTACGATGAATTCTCATGGAAGACCAAACGAAAACCGTTAGCCCGACAGTGGACTCTACAACTGTGCCGATTACGCCCACCTTCACCAATTAAGAAGTTCGGATCATATTTTGCTTACCATCAAGGAGCTGCTTGAAAAGCGAACTCAATCTAGACCAGACTGGAGAACACTTACGACAGCTTTCAAAATGGTCCAATAAGTTTTACTTGGAGAACACTTTTCTGAGGACAGCTTACATCGGTACAGACAGAAAATGTACTGGAGGGAATCCAAAGAAAACATTGGAGTTGACATTAATCACATTCTATCCTAATTCCAATTACGATAATTTAACCATGCACTGGTTATCACCTATGAAATTGTCTACGAGAACCTATCAGGATCTACTTATTTAAGAGTACTATGACGGAATCTAGAAATTAACCTTTATTTTGAACCTCATCAATTGGTCCTTTATCGAGTCTCGTTTGGTGGTCCTTCTATCATGCTTTTCGTCCTTTCGTTCATCTTTCACCTCATCATTAAGGGTTGGCGACTGAACAAAAGCAGTGAAATCGGTTACTCTTTTGTAAACATCTGAACTGTTCTGAAGTCGTACCTCCTCATCCAGATATGGATGCACTTCAGTTGATCGTGGAAAGAAGCTCTGTAAAGGATTATCACGTCTTGGATTACCAATTAATGATAACGTCACAGAATTACTCTTGTTGATCCTGTCTTGGAATCCGGTGATTTGACGGACAGTGGTGATTTCTGTTCACTAGGTGGATCGAGATTCTCTGTCCATGAAGTTGATAATCGTCTTCCTATTATTTAAAATCATTCCATTCAAAAAATTACTGAACGCAGCTCGAAAACAAAGACTGACGGCTTTGATAAGATGCCAGCTGCATCATTTTATGTGGTCCTGGTTGTTGATCATCTTCAACTATAACGGTCATTACTAATGAGCCAATGAGAAGTGAATACCTAAACCACCTTATTCACTTTGCGAATTTTTTTAAAAAAATGCAAAAAAATGGACGAGATGTCATATTTGCCGGCAGAAAAGCTTGACACGTTAGTGTTCCGAAGATTTAGGGCCTTATATCAGGGAAACTGGAAGCCAGACATTTTCACTCTTGCAGCAGTGAATGAGCATTCCTGACAACAATTAAGACATAATTAATATAAAATTTACTTGATTACAAAAAAAATGCTATGGTATTGCAAGAAAGGAATGTTATTGAAAATGAACATTCCCAAGGAACACTTTTCCACTCCCTAGGCATTGCGTTTGTCACCATGGCGACGCGTTCGTCAGATATCGTGAATAGTTGCGCTAAGAACCTCATTGCTAACCACCGTCCAAGATTTGATAAATCAACTAGCACAACTCCTATGAGGTTGCTGAGCTGAAATCGAGTTTTGCTGGATCTTCTGAAATGAGGATTCTCGCAGGAACCACGAGCTACGAGGCGCGTACACCGGTGACATGTAAACGAGAAAGAGTTTGGTGTTAATCAATCCATTCGGGATAAAACATATCATTCTGACTCAATTAAGCATCGAAAGGATGACTGAATGTGTGCTCGATCCGCACGATCACTTTCAAGTGTCTGGCGACCTATCAACTAAGTGTTTTCATCCTCATGTATATCTCTGGGCCCAACTTTCCGACCCCAAAGGTATTGGGCATCCTCATTACGGCATGCAAGGTCGGACCAACAATCATGTGTGTATTATTGAGCAATCATAAACACCGCACTAGACGTGCTCTTAAGATGGCATATCGAGATGAAGTGTGGAACGAATGATGTTAATACGTTCGATGAAACGTAGGTGCACGACGACAAATGGCTCTCTATATAGGTTTCGCCATTATTATCTGTATCTAACATAGACAGATTCGGGTGTAGCGCAGTGGGTGAAGGCACCCTGCAACACACATAGGACCAATCCCGCGCCGCAGGCTCACCAAGCCTTCCATCTTTGCGGGCTTGGGACGTTGGTACCACACCTGTCTGGAAGGATAGCAACAAAGGTTCGATAAATCGGTAGGCCACCGCAAGTCATTAGGTAGGCCAGATATGCATTCAGTCAGCTCTGACGATGGTTGATGAAGTTAAATGGCGCATGGCGCATCCCTTACGGATTGATCAATGTTGAGAGCTTTATCTTCTGTCCTTTTACCATATACAGCTGCTCATATAGGTACTGGCGTATAGATACTTGCTTAGGCGTGCTTACTTGTATGCTAACAATTTTCTACGCATTGATCGAGCCTAAAACTTATGACGAACTGACAGCAGATAATTCCCAAGACCGACTTTCTATTAAGCTCTGCAGTGATCAATAATTCATACCATCGGACACTCTAAGACGTCAGGGAGTTCGTGACCGTTCACATGACTGTCTACGTACAACGAAAAATTGCATAACATGCTCTAATGCTAGAGAGGGTGACTGCATCAGTTTGGGTAACAGGTTATCTGACCTCTTGTAAAGCGTGCAGAGAGCAATACATTGGCAAAACAGGTAGACCTCTCTGCGTCCGCTTAAAAGAACACCTGGTCGGTAAATTTAAATTGAAACTAAACGCTCCACTAGGTGCGCGTAGGAAACAAACCCAACAGAGAAGATTCTGAAGTAAAAGTCACTATCTTCGCACAGGAATCCAAGAAATCAGCGCGTAAAACCCTTTAAGCGTTTTGGCTTAATCCCAAAAATGCAAAAATGAACTGCAAGGAGGAGTTTTGTTATCACGCGTGACCGCGGGCCATGCCCCAGGTTGATTCCATAACCTGACCCACGCACAGTTCTGGCCCATATGTAGGACTCTGTGCGGCTGCTTTCCACCAACTAGCTGGAAGAAGCGAAGCTGTTTATCATGCGAATCCAAATCTATGTGTTAAGTCTCACCTGTTAAGGTTAAGAAAGTGTTTGGCCGAGCAGATTGCATGTCATTGTTTTCTTAATGAACAACCGGGAGATTGTTACTTTTTTCCTTAGTGACGAAAAAGCTGACTTTTCGGTGGGCTCGCCTCCCTCAAAGCCACGCTATATAAGTCTTCCAGTTAGTATTCCACTTGGAAACTAACCGTGCAGAGTTCACATGTGAGACATTATCACATTACCCTAATGCTCACATTATGCTTCCATATGAGCTCTGGAAGATTGGTTTCCAAGTAGAAAACTAAGTGGAAGTACAACCACAATATTGCTGAGATATTTGCAAAACTCCGGACCCAGTTAAGCTGAGGCTGTAGTTGAAGTCAATTCAAAATTGCCCTTCCCAGATCAATCCCGTTAGCGAGTGATTGCTGACGGCACTGGTCGACAGAACTAGCTGAGAGAAAGGCGAAACGAAGGAGCCGTATGGTGTGGTGGTGAACGCGTTACTCCTCGGTAGGGACAATAACGCGTTCGTTCCCCACCGCAGACGCCTGCGACCCGGAGTTTTGCAAATATCTCAGCAATATTGTGCTTGTATTTCGCTGAATACCCTGCCATAAAAATTATAGAAGGCGGAAAATAAAAAGTAAACTAAGTGGAAGACTTTTTTTTCGAGAAGATGGCTCGCTGAGGAAGATCTGGCTCGACAGGAAGGCGAAGACGCAACGTCGAGGCGAACAACAAGCATGGACCATCGACTCGGATCACCGGCTCTGAGGAAGACGAAGACGTCGAAACGTTAGCCGAAAATAAATATATTTATCAACCTCGTGCAAGCTTATCAAGAAAGAATACATATTTAAGTGGAAGACTCATTTTAGAATGGCTCTGAAGAAGGCGAAACCACCGAAACGTAAGCCATTGTATGCTAATGAATGCTATAATGCCAACCACGTATTTGATCAATGAGGAAAAAAAACAGTGGCAGGTGATACATAGGAAGTATTTTGTGGAGTTACGAAACCTCTAACAGATAGACATCATTTTTATCCCCAGAGTGCACAGTATGCCGAGTTCGCTGCTGCTGCGAAGTTAGGTTAACCACTTTCAGGTCCTCTTTCGTCAATATGAGTAAGGCTAGAAGACCTTTATAGCATAGTGCGCTTTTGCTCTTTAAGCGTTAGGGACGCGGCAACTTTGGCGCCCGACGGACGTCGGTAGTGATTGTGCAGGTGCCCGTTCTACTCATGTAGTAATCTTTGGGGTTGCAGGCGGTACTGAAGTAGTTTACGAGTTTATATTTGTCCTTTGAAAGTACTGAAAACGAATGTTGGATAACATTATGTCAAATTGTCTCCTGTTTCCTTAAAATCGTTAAGATCTCATGCGTTTCTGAAATCCATTCATTTTCATTCGGTTAGACCGAAATTTTCGCGGTTTTCCTTCTGTTTTCATCAATCGATACCAACTAAATTCTTTCAAAAGTAACAGCGTACAATGAAAAATCGTTCTTAGACAATTAACTAGAAACCGAATGTCAATTCATATCAATCGGTAACAACTGGCATCGATCCATGTCGATCCAGACTGTTCAGTTTCATTAAGGCATCTAGGCCAGTAGCATGGTAACAACTTTGTCCAGTTGGGATAAAATCGGATTAAAATTCATAAAGAACCGCTGTTTAAGTGAAATTAGTGAATGCTTGCGGAGAATATACGAGACAAAGTGAAGACTCTGAGAAACTACATTCAGCTAGACTGTAGTTGTTTCTTATCTTAATTAATTGTTTCTTTTACTTGAATGCATCGATATCTTCCAGATTATGTGCTCTATTGTTAAGCCGCTTTGCGTCTGTCGTGATGACAGATTTCAGCGTTTTAAAAGCGCTTGAGGTCTCAATAGTGCTCTAACAACATCTCGCCAATAAAGCGTAGAAAGGTTTTCTGTTATGCTTTTAATACTGTTGTTTCTCATGTCTACGATTAGTCTCCATCCCAACGGTTTACCGCCTCATCGTGGCTGGGAGGTGTTCTTGGGTGTTGAGCTGCGATGTACAGGGTGAGACCCATCGCCCTAGCAGAGCCTCCCAAGCTGAGAACGAGTTCGGCGTTTCCATCAGGAAGGCTAGCTAAGAGTAAAGTAATACCAGAATCTGCCACCGTCCTGGTATCAATGTCGCATAATGGCAAATCTCCCTTTGATTCACAAGGGCGGCGACTGCATGTGGTGGTGACGACCCGGAGTTGACTTTGGCCAGACTGTCCTCGGGACTCCAAGCAACCACAACGGCTAAACCCGCAAAACTCCGAAGAAATGGAAATTACGCTAGAGTCCTCACAATCAATGAAGATGGGCCATCCAGTTATCCAAATAACAGTGTGTATTTTATGAGTAGTGTTTCTTCTTCCTCATCTGTTCGATCTGATGCTTCTCCGTTGTGTGTTAAAAAGATCACTTGAAGTATTCAATAAAATACCTTTTTTCTTTTGTAGAAGTGGCATGTCAAGTGGGAAACGTCGAAATCCGCTTGGATTGAGCCTACCTCCCACTGTAAACGAAAATGAGAAGGAAGATGGCACAAAAGAGGTTTGTGAAGATTTTCATGATTTTCACGTGCTTGCCGTTTTCAAGTTCCATATTTCCTTTTTCTCCTCGCCTGTTTTTTTTCTTACTTTTCGTTTATTATATCACTATATTCAATCCCTTTGCTTATTATTCAATATTTAAGGGATATACGTGATTTCTTTCAGGAGGAAGTCAGTGTGCAAGTGAGCCTTGATGAGCAGTTAAAGCGTTTGGGGTTGACGGAACCCCAAAAACAACGTATGTGTGAATGGATACAAGTCAAGGAAGCTGTTAAGGTAATCGTACCACTTAAAAATCTTTTTGGGTAGAGTTTCCGTTCTTTATTCTATGTGAACTCGTTGACTTGTTTTTATTAAAGGAACAAGAACTATCGGAGGATGTGCTTGAAAACGAAGGTGAACTAGGTCACGGCAATGGAGGTGTTGTGCATAAGGTTCCATAAAATTTCTTTATTCCAGCTTATTGTTTAACTTTTGCTGACGACGATCGTGCTAACTGTTTTGTATACCCATGGAAGATTTTTCATCCAATAATTCACTGTTTTCTTGATAAGCACAAACTTGCTTGATATATTATTTATCCAGGAAAGATGACGTTTCAGCGGATTCCGTCTTCTTCGCAGTCTGGAGTGGTCAAGTTGACTGCAAACTAGGCAGCCAAATGCCTCCATAACTCGAACCGAAAAACCATGGGCTCCAGAGTTCAATCACATTGGCAAGAAAATAGCTTCTTCACGCACTCATCGCTTTCTGTGAGTCTCCTACTGAGTGTTCCATGTGGAGACCAATCGAAGAGTTCACGTGGATGTGTAATGTGGCTCTTTCACAATAAGATATCTGTCTTAAGTACAGTGTGAGATCACGCGTGATTCCGAGGCATTCATCCCTGAATTGTCCAGAGTGCTTCGAGAATGTTGCACACTGAAATTTCCGATTCCTGTGCGAAAATGGTAGCTTCTACCTTGTAATCTTTTCCGTTATGTATCTGTGCCATATGTGCGCCTAGTCCACTATGTGGTTTCACTTAAAGTTTATCAACCAGATGATCTTCTAGACGGGCGCCCAATGGTTTAACCGTTTCGCCAATGTATTCGTCTTTGCATGCTTTATAAGTGATCAAACAAACTGTACCCGAGCATATGCAGTCATCATCTCTAGGGTTGGGGCATGTTGTGCCATTCTTTGTTGTGCATAGACGGTCGTATAGGAGTTACGAACTAGCTGGCGTCTTAGAGGGCTCAGTAGTATTTCAGTCACTGGTACTAAACTCTCTAGGTTGGCCTTTCTGACGCAACTCTGCACTTATTTCATTGAAGATGAAGGGCAGGATAAACAGAGCCTAATTATCGCTAGTGCTATCGTTTGAGTGATTGGGTTTTCCTCTACACCTGTCACGAAGAACTGCCGTTTCGCAGCCATTGGAAATGGCTAATTGCTGCGCTATTTTCTGATTCTACCTTCTGGTCTCTCTATGCACAAATTGGTGGCCGTTTGTATCATCCTTCTTACAAGCGCTATTTTTGTGCGTGAAGGGTAACGGCAACGGTATTGAAGTAGTGGTAGTAGTATGTTTTTTGTTACTCGGTTTTCGCTATCACTTGGTGGTGTACCCGCTTTCGGATAGGTTAATTTGAAGGTGTAAAAGAAGGAACTAGTTGTCTTTAAGTTTTTCCGGGGTGAATTTTACCTATACTGATTGTTCGTTGAACAACTCAAAATTTTGCCCATCTCATGTTGTGTGGAGCAGGTAACAAAATAACCATCTATATTATTAATTGTAGAATGTCCGGAGATCAATTACTGGTGCTTACATCTTAGATTTAAAGTAGCTCTGATTGGTATTTTGATGTAAGGGGTAGGCATCATGCCGGTGGTCTCCAAGTGGAATACTCAGTGGAAGACTCGTAGAAAGCGGTGTATGAAGGAGCCGTTTTGTTTCATATGCGGTTAAAGCCTAGGTATCGCGACTTTTCTGTTGTGGTTTGCCTGACTAGTTTGGTCTCACCCTTACCTTTCCAGGCTCTGAATTAGGCGAAATTTTCCGAAACGTCGGTTTTTGTGAACATGCAGTGCAGTAGAAACCTCATGTATGTTTATAAGGAAAACAGTGAGTTAATGGCCAATGGCGAGCTTAATAGAACGTCGTTCCTGGGGATACCTTGTGGATTACGTGGCTTTGTCGATTACGACATTACTCAGGTCGTGCATAAGAAAAATGGTGTCACAATGGCCAGGAAGTTGGTGCATTTGGAGGTGAAACCTTCCGTACGACAGCAGATTGTGAAAGGTTGGATTTCGAAATGAAAGTCAAATATTATTTTCTTTGCTTTTCACTGTATCTGAAAGCATTCTTATTGAAAAAATCATCTTCTTTCTTGCCGACTTGTAGTATATTCATTCCAAAGCTTTTAGTTCCTCAAACAATTTGGGGATTTAATTCTGTCTTGTTCAAAATACTAAGAATAGAGAGTGTATTCATTCTGATAGAGTTATAAAGGATTCTATGAAGAAGAAAGTTGATGATCCATTGTGCATGTTTATTTGACGATGTGGAACCGCTGTTCTGTCTGTTTACGGAATTCCTTCTCATTTAGTCGTTGTTATTTTTACTTCTTAATTTTAGAGCTGGCTGTTTTGCACAAGTGCAACAGCCCTTACATAGTTGGATTTTATGGTGCATTCATTGATAACAATAACAGTGACATTTCAATATGTATGGAATATATGGATGGGCTTTCACTGGATATTGTGATGAAAAAGGTAACTGCTTTCGTTTTACAGAAGGTACGAGATTCTGTCAAGACTTTTCTTTCCCAAATGAGTGCAATACAGGTTGGCCGGATTCCAGAGAAGTTTGTCGGTAAAATATCAGTAGCTGTTGTTCGAGGTTTAGCTTATCTCAAAGATGAGATCAAAATACTGCATAGAGGTATGGTATGTCAGTTATTTGTTTCCTTACAGAGTCAGAATTTGTATTCCTCATTTTCACTGAACGCCCCAAGGTAGACGTACGAGGTGGTCTGTGTGGTTAGGAAACTTCATTTCGATTTGTGCACTTTACAGTATGGGATATTGGTGGACTAGGTTTCTTTACTTTTCTTTTTTTGTTTCAGCGATCCTCCCAGTGTTCTGTTATTCAGCAGAGACCCGACTTGACCATGTAGAGAATTCTACACACTACCTTTAAGGTGGCTGGACGGTGTCTTGTGAAATTTAACTGACACAATCAAAGTCTAAACGGCACATGCAGCTCAAATCTTGGAAACTTGTCCCATCTTCGAGATTTACGAAAAGATACATCGATAACAGAACATATTTTGCTAATTCTTATAATGAGAGAAGCAGATAGCGAACAAAAATAAGTGAAAAATAGACTCTAGGGCGCGTGTGACCCAGTGCTTGGAGGCACCTTTGAGACACACACGTGGAATCGATCCCCGCGCCCCTGGCCCATCAAACCGTCCATCATTACGGGCTTGGCAGATTGGTGCTGGGCTTGTCTGGGAGGATAGCAGCACTAGCTCGTTACATCGGTAGGCCACCGCAAGTCATTGTGAAGGCCAGATATGCATTCAGTCACCTCCAACGATACTCAATGAAGTCGAATGCTTGGCGCATCCCTCAGGGGTTTGGCGAACGCCAAGAGTTTTGTCCTTTTTTAAAGTAGACTCTAAGAGAACAAAGTGTCTCCTGAAACGACCACCAACACGATGGGCCAGCGTCTTTATGGCTCAAGTCGAACATCTTTAAGTGAAGAAGGAAACGATGCACAGATCACGGAGTACGTCTTATAGGCTTCACTTTACCACTTTCGAAACAGCCCATCGTCAAGTACGAGTGCGTCAAGGAAAAAATAAGAATAGATGATGTGTTCGCTAGCGCCCTCACTACTCGTAAAGACGTGCTGTTCAATGTCTAAATAAGTAAATACTATGTGGGTACATCTTTTATGCTGTATTGCACTATACGAGAGCTAATGGATTTGGGAAGGTGGAGGAATGAGAGAACGTTGTTATGGAAATACAGATGTGTTCGTTGTAAAGCTTATGAACTAAGAAAAATGTGACACGGAGCTTGAATGTAAATCAGAAGGACTGCATTCTCTCTATGTTCATTCTCTTATTGTTTTCTTACAAATTGCTGAGATATATACTTATATTGTTTTTTTCTTTCAAAACCACTTCGCCCTAGGTCTGTGTGTTAGTAGCATCTCATCTCATTAGAGGAAGAAAAGGACGAATGAATGAGTACTGCGGTTAAACTATGCACAGGTGCTCTAGCCGGCAAAGTTCTGGTTTACGAGAGGAGAATATCTGTGTTATTTTTCAAATAGTGGTAAAGACTTCCTGCTACAAAAGCGGTGTGTGGTTATGTAAAATAAGCAAGGTTTATTTGTTAAGTCATCAAAGGGTTGATGTGTGCTATACCTACTTATTCGGATGGTCCATCTTCACTGGTTCTTTAACACCTAGCACAATATACTTTTTCTGGTTTAGCTATTGTAGTTTCCTGCAGTTCCAAAGTTAACGTAGCCGAAGCCTTCTGCTAGTCTTTACCACCCCAGTCAGTCGCCACCATTGTGGATCATAGGGAGGTTTGCTACCATGCGAATAGTTTGAAACCAGAACGGTGGTGATCCCTGGTATTAGTTTACTCTTAACTGGGCTTCATAATGGGAACGTAGATCGCGTCAGCTGGGGAAGCCCTGTGTTTGGTGATGAATCTCAAACTGTACATCGCAGCCCGACACCAAAGAACACCTCCCAACTGCGATAAGCGGTAAACTGTGTGGAGAATTATACAAGGAGTAAATTCCCTATCCGGTTTATTCAAGCTGATAATTTAAGGTAGTGCCTAATTCTACATTATCTAGCTCTTTCAGACGTAAAGCCATCAAATATGCTGGTGAATAGCAATGGCGAAATTAAGCTTTGTGACTTTGGAGTTTCTGGTATGTTGATCGACAGTATGGCAAATTCGTTTGTCGGAACTAGGTCGTATATGGCGGTTCGTATTTGTTTTTGTTATAATTAAAGTATTCTGTTTTTCATTACACATTAGTGAAGCCTTGTATAGAATAGTCAAGTAAAACAGTTATCATTGTTCAAATCGCATTAGTAGGCTTATTATTACCATAAAATGTTTTTTTATTCCTTATGCTAAAAACTTCGTTATAGCCAGAGAGGCTGACTGGATCACATTATTCAATACAGTCGGATATTTGGTCATTTGGGTTGTCACTTGTTGAACTGCTAATCGGTCGATATCCGGTACCGTCTCCATCTAAGCACGAATATTCTGTCATGTTTGGCATACCGGAATCACAACTGCAGTTAGCAGATGGGCGAACTGATGTAGGTTTTTATGTTCTTTGCTCATTATAGTATTCCTTTTAGTTCTTCTACAACACGGTTCTGTACGGTTGCTGCTGATTCAGGTTCCACCCTACCAGGCGTCGAACAATCCTGCGGCTATGGCAATTTTTGAAATGTTGGATTATATAGTCAATGAACCACCTCCAACATTACCAAAAGGAGTTTTCAGGTGAACAGCATCAAGTGTTTAGTTAATGATTAGTAAATATTAAGTATAGACTAAGAATTTACAGTTCAGCACAGTACAGAATTTAGAATTCCAGAATCTGGACATCCTTGTTGAGCAAACACGAAGTGTTACTTTATTCTTTATATCGGTAAAGCTGACATTTCGGGAGTATCGTTTTCTTCAGATCTAGGAAGGGTATGCTGACATGCAATTAACTACGCCAAATGCTTCAAAAACACAAACACAGAGGTAGAAATCTAAATGGCACCATCAACAGCTTCTCGAAAAGGCCACAGTTATTTTACGTGCCTTCCACTGAGGAAAAACAGCCGATTAGAGTCGCACATGGTTAACAATTGTATCACACCACATCAAAAATCAATTCTGAGATACAGGGCAAGATCACATGCGATCTTGGCATTCCTCTCTGCTACTTTGATCTAGTCCTGTATCTTCGAATCGAATTTTGATGTGGGGTGGTGCACTCATCAACCAAATAAAATTCACTGCGGCTGTTCTACCTCAGTGGAAGGTGTGTAAAAAAGGTGGGTTTTCCGAGAAGCTGATGACCATATAATTGCCATTCAGATTTTTGTCTTTCTATATGTGTTATTGAGGCGTTTCGCGTAGTAAATTGCATATCAATATACCTTTTCAGGTCATGGAGAAAGCGGTACTGCCGAAACGTCAGTTTTATCGATATAAAAAATAAATTAACACCTCTTGTTTGCTCAACAAGAGTATCGAGAACTATTTGATCAATGTCGAGATTAATAGAAAGTTTTTCGTGGTATTTACATTTAAATTGCAAAGTATAATCTGTTAAAACTTGTTTCTCCTATCTGTCACTTCCTTTTTGCTGACCTAGGTTGAATAGAGCTGTATTTGATTTAGATACTTGGTACGAGTTATATACCATATCTCAGTTCCTAGCAGTATGAGTTTTCAGTGATGAAGCGATCAATTTTGTCTCCAAGTGTTTAAAGAAACTTCCCGGTGAACGGGCAAATCTAAAGGCACTTTCTTCTGATCCGTTCTTCATGCGGTACGCTGATGTCGACGACAATGGAGAATTCGCGAATTTTGTCACTGAAACAATATCGATCCAGCCTAAACAGTGAGGAGCTATGCTGAGCAACTTAGGATGGGGAACAAAGAGGTGAGTTTACATTTAAAGGATTATATTATGTTTGAATAGACACGTTGTAGTCGAAGCAGAAATACTTCTTTCCTTAAATCAATAACTTTTCATGTCTTAATCAACGTAATAGGATACGTATAGAACGTAAATGTCATTTCTTAATTGTAGTGGTGAAAAATGAGGTAATTACTAATACACTGGTTTCGGGAACAATAATTTAGGGTTCTTCTCTCCGGTGATGGAAAACTGGGACATGGTGATGACGATCATTAAGCTAGATCTCGACGTTTGCAACTCTTGGGCTCAGCATAATGACTAGATTTTTAAAACTGCAGAAGATTATTAAATACGTGTTTCATTAAACGTGAATTAGGGAATAGACTAAGAGAGACAACTGGAGACACTTATCAAAAGTGGTTTCATGCGAACGAGAAATATCCCAACTTCAGTTGTACTACAAATTGATAGATTGTTACGCATTTGAATGATTAATCGTGACCGAAAAGGGTCGCTTAGGTGAAGGAACAATATAAGTCTGTATTCTACTGAAGATTCTCATCTATGGTGGCGAACTTTCAAATTAGAAGTGATGTCAATTTTAGCAGGTGCCTGCGTTATGATGCTTATGATTGCTTCGTGGTGGCTGAATGGATAGCCTACCACGTAATTATCGAGGCCACTGTAATGGTCTCCGTCGATCTCCTGCTAACTATAGCAATTTTCGTATTGTAGTCTCGTATTTTCGTGGTATTGTCCCGGTAAGATTACGCAGTGTCGTCTCATTCCTAGTCGACTATAGAAAGCAGCTTAAAAAATCTGATAGAAGTTCCTGCCTTTCTCATGATAACGTAGAAGTGATCAAACTTTCGAAATCAGTTATTTCTCAACCTTTAGTACGATGTTGTTTGTGAGTAATAGCTAAGTTTGTGAATCATGTAGAATTTGGCGAATTTTGGTATATTTCTTGTAACAGGGTGACTATTACTATTATAATCATCACCATATGTGAGAAATTTTCTCTAAATGGGTTGTGCATGGGACACGCGTGTCTCAGTGTCCTTGTTACAACCGTACAAAATTTGAAAGGAATGTTGCAAAGTTGAGAAAATGACCATTAATATAAAAAGGAGAGAGTAATATAGATCATTTACTGGAACAATTACTACCAGAAATAATTATGTTCATGTTCCTGTTCAATCTCAATGCTGCCTTTGTTTTTTCGCGTCACAAAGATCCAGCTCTATAACTTGAATGTATTGAAGTCCACCTGAAAGCCTTGCAAAAGCATGCTTATGTCATTTCATGCCGTTTATAGTTTGATTTCATCTACTTCAACATTGAACAGTAGATTTATTTCAACCCCGAACTAATGAAAATCTCGCCAAGTGTACGCCGTTTCAACCAGTTGCTGTGGATTTTGTGTATTACAAAACGACAATTGAGAAAGTCGAAGCTATATTACTGTTGTATACATTGGAACAGTGTGTACGGAGCGATTCTTGAGATATAGTGGTGTTGTTGTTGATTGATCTCTCTGGATGGAAATCTGATGTGATTGCATCTAGCAGCAAGCAATTCGTGCATTTCTTTTAATGATAATCAATCTAGTACATAATGTTTCGCACACAGTCGAACACGCATGAGGTTCAGAGATCGTTGTGTTTCTTCCATTTAGAATCATTTACCACCTTCTTTTCTGCGCAGTCAGTCCTCCTTCTTCTCCTCCGTTGCTTTAAATGTGGCCTGCTCTGCAATGACAAAGTACGCTTTTTTCATAGTTTGTGGTGTTTTGTGGTGATCTTGAACAGAATAAATAGTTCTAAGATAAGTAGATTGTCATACTGGTTTGGTCACTATCCAGACTCTATTGGATATTTTGGGTTCCCGTGGTTTTTTTATGATTCAACATTTTGATTTACCACCTTCACGTGAACATATCAGTGTTTTCAATAACCAACTTTGTACTATTCTTTTCTTTCCTTGTGTATTCTCTTTTATTCTCTTTTTTCTTTTGGTGAATATATAGTGAATGGTACTCGTTTTCGACCTATATTGTAAATCCTTTCTAACTCTACAATAAGGGACGACGATAAGTGTTAGGAAGGCCTTATCATCAGGGATTGTACTAGTGAAAGTCTACTGGTATTCGCGAAACTGCTCACCTGTTGTTGTGTAGTTATGGAATTCTGCTTCCGTTTTGCTGTAGAAGTAAAGAATACCGCAAACGAACACGATGGCCACTAGAGGGATAAAAATATGTATGCCTAAAATTGTGAGTAGAGATCTGGGTTGTAGTTATCGAATATACTAGAGCATTAAAATACAAGGACCACAAAGTTATCTAGTTAAAACCTGTGTTTCACACTTAAGGTTGAGGAGCGACTTTGAATAAACGATTTCTGCGAAGGTTTAGTTCTAGTAAAACTACATCGTTATGATTCATTATAACTCACTCTCAACAAAGTCATAAACGACGTCCATTATGTGCTAACTAGCGGGTATCCTGAAAATAAGATGTCACAAGATGAACAATCGCATGTGTAACATTGAACTTGGGTTTGAATAAATGATGAGCAATCACGACTAAATGGACTCTTTCTGGTCGATTGTAAGGTATGATTCTAAATAGTATTTACTAGTAGTGAAAATATTCCATTTTTAGGAGTTGTAGTAAAATGGAACAGAGTCGCGAAGTAGTCTCGGAGATTGCAGTTCAGTCCCAGCCTGAAACTGATCCTGGCAAACCGGAAGATTGCAATGAGAGCAGTACAGCTTCGATCTCAGCACCAACCGGTGTCTTTACTACACCGATTTCCAAAATTGACCCTAGTGAGATGTACGTAGTAGCAGTTTTACTCCATTTACTTCTCTCCCTTAGTTTTACTCCCTACTTTTTACTCCGTTTTTTTTTTTAAAGGTACAAATAGGTAGGGAGAAGTGATGGTTAAACTAATGCTTGCACATTCCATGTATAACCGGATTACCTTGAAATACCGTTCTTGGAATTGAAAACTTTTTTTGGCACTGTAGAAGGTAGGAAAAACTCGGCGTTGATCAATCCCTGAGGGATGTGCATGCATTCGACTTCATTAAGCATCGTTTGGAGGTGACTGAATGTATATCTGGTCTTTACAATGACTCACGGTGGCCTACCAATGTATCGAGCCAGTGCTGCTATACTCCCAGACGAGTCTGATACCAATTTGCCGACCCCGGACGGATGGAAGGCTTGGTGACCCATGGGCCCGAGGAACAATTCCACGTGTGTGTCACAGTGGCGCCTCCAACCACTGCACCACACGTGCTATTTGGCACTGCAGAACTAAACATATAGTTGTACATCGGCTATTTGTTTGATAACCTACCATCTATCTATCTGTCTATCATATACCGCTTTGCCATTTCTAAGCAGAGCTATCGTGACATGGGACAGCAATTTTCAGCCATACTGGTTTTTCGACAATAAACGACGATTTTTCGATAGCTAGAAGAATGAGAGATTAAGAACCCTAGAGAATCATAGATTTTGCTCTATGGCTCTTGGGGTGTCAGTGATATATTCGCTACTATTCACTACATGTTACTGAGATGCATCATGCAAGCACATTGCTATCAGCAGTCGAATGCGTTTTTGGCTTATTTTTTGTCGATTTTTGCGTTTTTTACACCTGTCCGTATCAAACGATAACCATGACTCATTGATTGATTGCCTCATTGACTCATTGATTACAAATTGAGTAAGACTCAATGCAGAATAGAACTTTTCTGGAAAAACGCCAATCACAAACATCTGTGCGTCGTTTTCTTGTTCAGCAATCGCGAGGTTTTTAAACAGCATACATTTACTTGCATAGAAAAACACAATACAATACAATACTAGCTGACGTTTCGGCAGTATCGCCTTCTTCAGAGTCTGAAAGGGTGTACTGATATGTAATCTACTAGGCCATTGTTCATGTAATTACCATAGTTTTTCGTATTGAAGCGTTAGGCCTAGTAGTAGATTGCATATCAGTACACCCTTCCAGACTCTGAAGAAGGCGATACTGTCGAAACGTCAGCTAGTATTGTATTGTATTGTGTTTTTCTATGCAAGTAAATGTATGCTGTTTAAAAACCTCGCGATTGCTGAACAAGAAAACGACGCATTCATATTCCAATGCGGAGGTTAATGGAAAGTCGATCCTGGGAACAAACATCTGTGTTGGATAAACTATCGAATGGGTACAAAAAGTACAGAAGAAAAACTCTATACAATAAGAAAAGCCAATGAAAATGAGATAGCTCGCATCGAAATCAATATTCATTTCACGAATGGCCGTCAACGTACATATGAAAATCAGCGTTCGTCGTCGCGAAAGGGTTATCGCCAAATGTGTGAAACGTCTTGATGTTTTGCTGAAAATCACAAGTGGATCAAACTGTAGACTTGACGATTATAAATTGTTCAAATTGTTAATTCTTATGAACAGTACATCTCTTAGAAATGCTGTAAGCTGGCTGCAGCTAGAATGGTTTTTTGTTTTTTGATGACCCGCTATCAAAGATTGCGTGCCCCAGCACTTTCTGCATTCAATTCGCATCTCGGAATCCAATATTCCGTGAACGTCACTGCAAATTTTGCATGTGCGTTGGTCTGATAGCTAAGGATTTTCGCCTTCACCATGGATTTAGTTGAATAGAGGTCCAGTAGATTCTCCCTAGAATCCTGGGATAGTAGGAATAGAGCGTTGCCGCTTGCAATGAGTGAAATTCTCCCAGGTACCTCCGGTACCAATTTACCGAGCCCGGACGAATGAGAGGCTTGGTGAGCCCAGAGCGTGATTGAACTAGCAGATTGGCTATTGGAGATCTGATTTTACAGAGCATTTGCTGTTTATATGGGTTCTGCAGGTGGTTTATGAAGTAGCATATTAATGTCTGTGGTAAGGAATACAGTTGGCTGTGTCAGCAACTAACGTGGAGACTTTTTACTTATGT